TTAAGCCTCAGCACAATTTGTAAAACTTAGGCAAAAGGCCATTAACATAGATACATTCAGTGTAAGTTGAATTAACCCCCTGATCTTTAGGAACTCCTCAGATCTAAGTTTTCATTTCTTAGAGAAAAATCTAAAATACTTTAATTCTTATAAAGTATTAACTAGTTTTAGTTCTGTAACTATCCAGCCAGCAAAATACTTTAATTCTTATAAAGTAATACCTAGTTTTAGTTTTGCACCTATCATGCTAGCAAAATAATTTTAAAACATCTTTTTTAGTGTCAGCATAACTGTCTTTTGAAACTTGAATTGCCTTTCCATCTAAATAACAGCATTCCAAATATTAATGTAAAAGTTTGTTCATGAGGAATTTGGGAGGATGTGTGAGAATTTTTCACTTATTACTAAAAGTCTACAGTATTTATACCTAGGTATATTTTTTCTGTATTTTGGTTGGGATTTTTCTTTTTTCCTTTTCTTACTGCTGTAAAAGCAGTCTATATTGAAAAAATCCATATTCTATCAAAGGAAGTGAAAGTGTCCTACCTTGCCTTCATAACTATTATTTATAGTTTGATATACATTCTTTCATATTTATTCACATACAGACATACATTTTATATATAAACATTTTTCCTGTCTTTAGTATGCCATAAGAATTATGTTTGTAAGGGTCTGTAAACTTTGGGATTAATAGGAATTTTGTCCTTTAGAGATTTGCCTTTGAGTATTCTTAGAGTGAAATATTTGGATACTTCCAAAATAATTCAGTGAAACATTTTTACTCTTATTTTTCACAAGTTTCTGTTCCAAGCTTGATCTCTGTTATGTCAGTCTAGAGATTTCTTGTATATATGACAACATCTACCCTTCTCGTGCTGATGATATCCATTTTGTGGACACAATGCTGCTTTATTGATATTTCCTTATTGCCTTCTTCCAGTTCACTCCATTAGTCATAACAGCCTCTAATTGATCTCTGCATCTCAAGAGTCTCTCACTCTGCCTGTCCATGCTGCACACTAATACCAGTTTAATATTACTGAAGGTTTTAATCCTGTTACTGCTGTCAGCCTCCTGAGCCTTATCTTAACAGAAATTTCAATTCATTATCTAGCTCTACGTTCAATTTTTAGATGAGAAAACTGAGATCTAAAAAAGTTTCTTGCATGAAATCACATAGTTAATTGGGAAAGTCTAGACTAAAACAAAATTTTCTACTTTCATTACCTTTTGTTTCCAATACTTACTAGTATTTAAGTTCCTAGGCTGGGAACTTAATTTCTGTATTATAAGCAAGGTAACTCCAAACGGATGTTTGTAAGTTGGAAATTACTTATATCTTATAAATAAGGATAATGTTACAAAAATATTTTAAGAGCTTTGATGCTAACACTGTTTAAAAAAAGAAAGAACATTCTTTCAAGATAATTAACAATTTCTTTTACACCCTACAGAATTTTATTAACATTTGTAAAGATATCTCTTGAGAATGTGAAACCAATATGAACCCAGTGGTTTAATATCTTCATTTGGCTGCACTTTTTCTTTATTTGCTTTGAAGAACAATGTCTTGGTTTAGGCACTTAGTGTATTAATTGGCTGTGCCTTATGATGAGTTACTATGTTGGTCTGACTTTAGCTAGCACAAAATCACTCCTAGAACAAAAAACAAAAGAAAAAAATAGATAAATTGGACTCTATCAAAATGAGAAAGTTTTGTGCTTCAAAGGATACCATCAAAAGTGTAGGGGCTGGCCCAGTAATGCAGTAGTTAAGTTCGTGTGCTCTGCCTTGGCAGCCCCGGGGTTCACTGGTTCGGATCCCAGGTGCAGACCTATACACTGCTCATCAAGCCATGCTGTGGTGGTGTCCCACATACAAAATAGAGGAAGATTCTCATGGACAGTCTTCCTCAAGCAAAAGATAAAGATTGGCAACAGATGTTAGCTCAGGGCTAATCTTTCTTTCCAAAAAATAAAGATGAAAGAAAGTGTAAAGACAGCCCACAGAATGGGAGAGACTTTTGCAAATCATATATCTGATAAGGGACTTGTATCCAGAGTATATAAAGAACTCTTAAAACTCAATAATAAAGAAACAACCCAATTTTAAAATGGGCAAAGGATTTAAATAGATATTTCTCCAGAGAAGATATAAAAATGGCTAATAAGTACATGAAAAGATGTTTAATGTCATTAGTCATTCTGGAAATGCAAATCAAAACCACGATAAGATACCACTTCACACTCACTAAGATGACTATAATAAAAAAGATGGACAATAGCAAGTGTTGATGAGGACGTGGAGAAATTAGAATCTTCTTAACTTGTTGGTGGACAGTGTCAAATGATGCAGTCACCCCATGGGGAGATGTGGAGGGAGGGATTAGGAATGACTGCTAATGGGTACAGGGTTTCTTTTTGGAGTAATGAAAACCTTCTAAAATTAGGTTGTGATGGTGGTTTGACAGTGAATATACTAAAAAACACTAAACTGCACACTTTAAATGGGTGAATTTTATGGTATGTGAATTATATTTCTGTAAAGCTGTTGAAAAAAGCAATAATAGATTTTGAATGTATAACTGGGAGGCAAAATCAGTATTATGCAGACTAAAAGGCATATTGGATATGAAAGATCAAAGAAATGGGAAGTATATAGTTTCTAGTATGCTTCGTAATCAAAGTAATTTTTTATAATACCTGATGGTTCAGATTTTATAAATTTGGTAGTCTTACCTCCCTGAGTATTGTAAACCTGCTCACTGCTTCTGTTTGTGAGAAGCAACTGTTGCCATTTTTCTTTTCTGCTACTAAGCTGCTTCTAGGGAAAATGTGACAGTATGGGGAAAAAAGCATTTAAAATTTGCTTTTACATTCTTCCACATTCTCACATGCCTCCCCCAGCCCAATACTCTTTTAACCCTCTCTTTGATGACTCCACTTCCATTTCATAGAATTCAAAATTTCTTTCCCTCTTTGCTGATATTCATTCCACCCCAAAATTTCCATTTCTTCAGTGGGTCCTTATTTAATGTAAGAGGTTTGTTAGATTAGTTTATAATAAGTCATCCATCTCTGATATTTGCATTTTAAAAGATTATAGAACAGGAGTCAGCAAATGTTTGAAGAGCCAAGTGTAAATATTTTCAGTTTTTCAGGCCATAAATTTGCTGCTGCAACTATTCAAGCTTGCTGTTGTAGGGTGAAAACAGCCACAGACAAAATGTAAATGAGTGGACAAGGCCTGATTGGACCCTAGGTAGGCCAGATCAAGCCATAGTTTGCCAACTTATGTTATAGAATTCCTTTTGTGTATGTGTGAGAGGAAGATTGACCTTGAGCTAACATCTGTGCCAATCTTCCTCTATTTTATGTGGAACACTGCCATAGAGTGACCTGACAAGTGGCACTATGTCCGCACCTGGGGTCTGCACCTGGGATCCGAACCTGTGAACCCTGGGCCTCTGAAGCGGAGCAAGGGAAATTAAACCACTATGCCACTAGGCCGGCCCCAACCATGTTATAGAATTCTTAATTTAACGGCTCAGTATTAAGACAAAATGAGATGAAGAAATTTAAGTGCAATAAATTTAGGCATTTATGTCCTCCACTTTCACCACTAATGAAAGTGATTTCATTTCTTTACAGTTCTATCTTTCTTCCAAGGTTTTCTGAGGAACAGAGGTCAGAACCTTGGCACTTTTGAAAGTTTCCCACGCCTTATTAAGAAAATACCAGACTTTAAATAACCACTAACGACTATGACACGAGGATTGAGGTTATTATTAAGATTAGGTCGATGTATGTGTATGTATAAATATAAATATATTTGTGTATGCATATGTACAAATTTATTGTGAGATGTGTGTGTGTGTAACTTTTTAACATACTTCTGTGGGATGCATTTGGATAGTCTCTAAAATATCGCAAACAAAATTATTGAATAGAAATGTAAAAAGACACATGAATTTAAGGTAAACTAGGAAAAAATAAGTACTGGATTATTTGGCCCTGCTGAAGTAGACAAAAGTAAATGAAGATCAGTGTGGCTAACATTTCCTCCCGTTGTATTCTGGGTTGATTGAAATATTTTTTTTCAGTTTAATGTTTGTTTAGCTTTTTGAACATATGATAGTTGTTCATGTATTAAAAGAAATGTGGTGTTGAAACAATGACATTGTTTTAGATCCATGGCAATTATGTTGTAAATCATAAAATTATATTTCAACTAATATTTCCAAATAACAATGATAAGGAGAAAAATTTGCATTTGCCATATCATGTTTTACAAATTACTGGACAGTGCAGAATGACCATCACTCATTTAATGCATTTCTTAGGAAAATAAAACATTATTAACTCTGGGGAATTTGAGCTACTCAGGAAAACAAAATAGTATATTAAACGCCAAAGTGTTTTATTTTTTCCTTGAAAATGATGTCATTTCATTGTATGTCATGAACAAGTATTTTAAACAACTCTGACTTTATTAAACAAATGTGTATTTTACTTTTTGTCAAATTTTTGTTTTTCCAGGTCAAGATTTGAATATTTTATCTCTCCTATTAAATTAGAGCTGACCCAAATAATACATCAGTTAATTAAAACATTGCCCTTTCCCTCAATAAAAATGATTTCATTGCATAACTCTTTCTACCTCTTTCCTCTTTCTAGCTCCATTCTGGTAATTAGCATTCATTATTCTTTCAACAAATAATTGGATAACTATTATATGCGAGGCACTATTTTAGGCATTGGAAACAAAATCTTGAAGCAAATGATCTCTGCCCTTGTAGAACTTATATTCTAGAGTGGGGAGAAGAGAGATAATAAATGATTGTTTATTGTTTAATATAAAAGTTATGTAGTATGTTAGAAGACAAGTGCTGTGGACACAGACAGGGAAGGGTAAGGATGTATTAATCTTTTATAGAGTAGTGCTAATCTGTTATCTAATGTGGATATTGTCATCTTATTTTCATTTTCAATTTATAGTTCCAATGACAGGATTCACACAGAGAGCAACCATTGATCCAGAACTGAATGAAATACATGTCTTATCTGGACTCAGCAAAGACAAGGAAAAGAGGGAAGAGAATGTCAGAAATTCATTCTGGATTTATGACATCGTGAGGAATAGTTGGTAAGGAGCTCTTGTCTGTACTGCAATCCCAATGTCACATTTATTTGAGGTTGTTGGTTTATTCCAAAGAGAGAAATAGAAGGCTTATGTTAATTTGTGATGTCATACATGTAAGTTTAAGTATTGAGGGAAAAAGTCATTATCAGTGCCTATGTGTACAGTGACATTTAGTGAATGGATTTTTGTCTCTGAATTGTTCAGTTAGTAGTAGATGGTCCCTGGTCTGGGAGTCAAGAGAATTGTATTTTAGTCTAGGTTTTATTACCAAGTAGATGTGTAAACTTGAGAACAGTGTCTTTTTTTAGTGTTCCCAGGTCATAATTTTTATAAAAATGAAGTGGTTTCACTAGATCAGGGTCGGGAGGCATTATTATTTAGATTTTCAGACCATGACCCCTTTGTCACAGAGCATCTCACAGAACTGGTGCACCTTTTGCTTTGGAAAACACCAGCCTTGAGGATCCAGCTCTAACATTCTGTGGTTACTGCATAAGTGAATATTCTACAGAACAGAAGTACTTTGGAGAACTTCCTCCACTCAGTAATGGAGGGTGGTTTTCAGCAACCAAGGAATTTATTATTTTCTAAATAGGACATTTATTTACAGTAAAAATGAAAGCAGTCTATTGTGGTTTTTTTTATTGTGAATAGATAGTATATCATCTTTCAACTTCTAGTTTGAGCCTCTTATTGAGCCAGGTTCGTTTTGCCTGCCACACAATATGCCAGTCACCAAGACGATGACTTTGAAGCAGAGAAAGGGTTTATTCACAAGGCACCCAAGCAAGGAGACAGGAGAACAAGGCTCAGATCTGTCTCCCTGAAAATGAGGAGGGATGTTTATGGGATAGAGGGGCAGGGTGGTTTGAAATGTGGGGATAGATGGTTAGAGGTAAGGACAAGTGAGGTAATGTATGGTCTGCATTAGCATGGTCAAGCTTCATGGCTTTTCATAGGACACATATCCACAACATGGTGGCATTAGCATGATCTGAAGGTGGAGTTTTCAGCCCCCTGACATCAAAGAGTCACCTATCCGTCATCCATATAGGCCCAGTTGATGAGTTGGTGGTCTGAACTGGACAAGGAGCAACTCTCAGTTCCTGAAAAACTTAAGCACCCGTTACCTGTTACCGTGACCCGTTCATCAGAGGTTTTATCCGTAGGGTGGGCTTTAGTACTGCATTGTCTAACTACGATTGCAAACAGACAACTAACTGAGTATAGTTAAAGCAACTTGGCCCCCAGTTTCAAGCTTTCATATATACTGTTTCTGTTTTATAACACAAGGTACGTTGTTCTTACATGAGGTTTTTGATGAGCATTAAAAGAACTTCAGAACTCAGTTCTAACAAATTCAGATTATTTTATGAGAGTGACCAGAACTTTAAGATTTTTTGTGAACAAATTTATAATTTTTTTGTTGGTAATTAGACATGCAATTAATTTGCTTCCTATAGTTGCATTAACAGTTACATTAGTGCTGCTAATTTTCTAGGAGAGAATGCCTTAAAAGCAATATCTTGCAGGTCTTGCGTCTATAAGAATGATCAAGCTGCAAAGGATAATCCAAGTAAAAGTCTTCAGGAGGAGGAGCCATGTCCAAGGTTCGCCCATCAGCTTGTATATGATGAGTTACACAAGGTATCCTAACTACATTGACCTATAAACTTTCCAGACCTACAATCTGAAAAAATGCCAAAATATATCTGTGTCTTATTTTTTTAAGTGGATTTGAATAAAAAGTTACAATACATAGCAGGCATTCAACAGAATATGTTAGCAGACATTCAATCTCATTTCTCCCTAAAATTCCATAAGAGAGTAAATGTTTTTGCATAGTCCATAATTCCCAGTACTTTTCCTCTTTTGACAATGGCCAGTGGCTGCTGCTTAGCTGCATAGATCAGATACATAGCATGTCCTATTGTTTCTGCAATATGAATATCCAAGTAAAAATGTATAGTTTTCAGCATTAGAGTACCTTGTCCTATATCATGAAAAGGTGTGTATAACTTCCTGATTTTAGATTTTTCCATTGTGTAAGAAGTCTTTTTATCTTTATTTTTCCTATGTTTGTGTGACCTATCTTTTTCATCAGCCTTGTGAAAGCAGTCCTGCATTCTGAAGTTTTAGTGTCACTCAGTGTTCAAAATGGTTTCTTTAACTATTTCTCCCTGAAACTTTACATATGGTTTGGTGATTGGCCTCAGTTATACAGTAAGTTACTGACAGAACCTGTATTCTTTCTGTTCAGGCCATAGATGATTATTTAAATTTTATGTCATTTGAGACCTTTAGGTAAAAGTTACCATGGGAGTGAATAAAAGCCTTTTCTCTTAGAGTTTCCAAAATTAAAGAGTAAGTGAATTTCCATCTGTAGGATACAAATAATATTGCTACTGTATAACACTGTTGAATATAAATGTTTTAAAAATTTCAGGAAATGCTTTAACACTTTGTGTAAGTAAAGAATATCACTAAAACTGTAATTAATATAATAGTAAAATCATATTGCATTCCTTTTACATTTCTTTTTTGGTCTTAATTGAATAATGGAGTAATATTTTAAAAGTTACTTCACAAATCATGTGTGCCATTAAGCCTAAAGCAAGATTAAGATCCTTAAATTAAATTTAAAACTTAAAACGTTTCTAGTTACTGTTAACCTTCAGGGATTCAACGTGTGTGTCAGAGTTTTTTTAAAGATATTGTTTGCTATTATGATCAACACTTAATTAACTTGATATTCTCCATTATTCTTTGCTCTAAGCAAACTCAGTATTTTGGATTAGCTTCTATCATTGCTTTTGTTTCATGTCTTCCATTGTTGATATAATTCTGGTAATACAATTCACTTTAATGTAAAATGTAATTTAAAGAAGTAGGCATAGTACTTTAAAATAAAAAGGAAACTTGAGAAGAATCAAGAGAAACGTTTGGTAGAAATGCAATGTTTTAATTTTTTTTTTATGAGTAAGGCTAAGGAAGTTACCTGTTATACACTACTACTAAAATGAAAACATTTTACTGTGACTTCTGTAGTTTTTTGAGTATGCATGCGTTTTTAAAAATCTGATTTGTTTTGTTTATTACAGGTTCATTATTTATTTGGTGGGAATCCAGGAAAATCTTGTTCCCCAAAGATGAGATTAGATGACTTCTGGTCACTAAAGTTGTGTAGGCCTTCAAAAGATTACTTACTGAGGCATTGCAAGTACCTCATAAGAAAACACAGGTATAAAAAATAATTCACTGAAAACTTTTATTTAACATTATCAGCTCTTGTTGGTATTACCTAAGCTTTGGAAATGTGACTGTCTTTGAAAATTTAGTGACGTGACAGTGTAAATACTGTGAAGATCATGACTTTTGTGAGTGCCCTGTTATTCTCCTTATTTTGCTTTCTTCTTTCAAAGGAAGATACAAAGTGAAGATAGATATTGATGCTAAAAATTTCTAAATATAGAACAAGGAAATTTTGCAACTGTTAAAATAATGGAAACAATTTCTCTGAAGGTGATGAACCTACCTTCAGGTAACTCAAGGCCTAAACACTACAAATTGCATCAGTTCTGGATTATTGGCATGTGCCTGACCTATTGACGACTCTCTTAACAGTGTACATGATGGTATAGTTTACTAAATACCTTTCCAATTTGATGTTTCAGAATACACCTTCAGATATGATTATAGTTTTACATCATTACCTTTGCCATTTAATTGCAAAATCATGTAATCAAACATTTTTACCTATATCTCCTGAGTCATGTTTGCCTTTTAGCCTTAGCAGGTAATAAGCTACAAAAAAATGTAGAAAAGTATATCTGTCCTTTTGGTTACTGATAGTGTTAGATGGTAATAAAAATTTATAGTTTGGAAGGAGAAGGTTAGCCATTATTGAGCAATTTTTGTGTGCTAGATCCTGCATATTAATAATCACAGTAAGCCAATGGAATAAGTACTGTCATTATCACTATTTTATAAAAGAAGAAATGGAGGCATTTTTAAATAGGTTATATAACTCATCTAAGGTCACTCAACCATAAGTGACAGAGCCAGGATTTGATCCTGAGTATTCTGACTCCAGAGTTCACCGCTTAACCCACACTCACACCTCCACCCACCCCCACATACATACAAGCACACATGTATATGTATATATACATACATGCATACATATGTGTGTTTATATGTTTGTTATATATGTTTATGTATTATATTTTATATAGAATATAAGTACATAAAAATCTCTTGTAGGTATAAGTTAAATTTGTGGTTTTTTTATATCATGTTTACTTATTGTTCCTTTCTCTGCTTTTACAAGTTGTGCTTGAGACATAAGTTAATAGCTGAACCTAGTTACTTATGTTGCTTTGGCATTATTGTGACTAATCAGTGTATTTCCTATAGAATCTACAGGAGAAAGGGTCTGAATCTTCATGTTGGCTGGGTGGCAAGAGATAAATTCTGTTTTATTAACAAGATTTAAGCTTGAGGTATCTTCAACCATTTACATTGCTAAAATTTCATTCCTTAATACTTTACTTAATGTTAAACTTTGGTTTTAAAAGGATAAGACAAATTTGGGGAAGTTATAGTGTTCTTTTTCTACTTCAGATCTAACAACTGGTGGTTGGAATGTTAAGTTGAGCTCTTTTTAAAAATTTCCTCACTGAAAGCTCATTAGAGATTAAAGGAGATCATCTAGTGTAATATGTGAAGAATTGGAACTCACTTTTAAACATTTTCCTCTGGCTTTTAATTGAAAAAGTAATGCATGGTTAATAAAGAAAAAACAGGGGCCAGCCCTGTGGCCGAGTGGTTAAGTTCGCACACTCTGCTTGTGTGGCCCAGGGTTTCACTGGTTCAGATCCTGGGTGCGGACCTAGCACTGCTCGTCAGGCCATGCTGAGGCAGTGTCCCACACAGCACAGCCAGAAGGACCTACAACTAGAATGTACAACTATGTACTGGAGGGCTTTGGGGAGAAGAAAGAAAAAAAAAAAAAGATTGGCAGCAGATGTTAGCTCAGGGCCAATCTTTAAAAAAAAAGAAAAAGAAGAAAAACCATAAGTTCTCTCTATCCACCAAAAGAATTGAATCACTCATCATCCCCCCATTCAGAAAAAATAACTTAATATTTCAGTGTATATCCTTCAAGCTTTATGTGCACACGTAGATTTTTGTTAGTTTAACTGAAAAATAAAGATCATATTGCTTTGAATCTGATTTTTTCCAATGAATGATGTCTTATAGACATCTTATTAGCATGTTAATAGATACAAGTACAAATCACAATTATAATGACTGCATAGTGTTCTACTTTATGTGTAATTTACTTAACTAGTCTCCTTTTGTAGAATATTTAGAGTATTTCCAGCTTATTTTCTATTATAAACAATATGTTAATATTATTATATGCTTCTATATGCATCCCTATCCAAAAATTCTGTAGGGTAGTGGTAGAATTGGTGAATTATAAATTGCCCTACAGAAAGTTAATTTTCATTCCTTCTAAAAATAAGTAGAATTAATTCATTTATCCACAGCCAAGCTATCCTGAGAAGTATTGTTCTTTTTGATATTTGGCAGTTGTTTTTCTTCTTTAAAAATATATCAGTTTGCAGGTGAAATAACAATTTGGGGGAATTTGAAATATTCTATATTATGGCGTGTTTTAGGTTTCAAGTACAAACATTGTTAGTGACTTGTGCCAGTAAAAGGCATAAAGTGAGGAATGAAAGTGGATAAAGAATAAAAGAATAATCAGTAACAATTGTTTAAATTTTTAAGTATATGATGAAAGACTCTAGCAAATCTTGTGAGTTATGAGAATGATTCATAAAATAAAGCGACTGAAGTTGAAAAGCACCAAGTTTATGTGATTGGGCAAATAGTCAACCTTTGAAATTTGCTAATATGGGTAGAGAAGTATGCTTAGTTCATCTAGAACTTAAACCAGAAAAGCCCTTGAAGGACAATTTAAGAATGTTTAAAGACCCTATTCATTTGTGTAAATTATTTTCAATTAGAGTAATAATAGCATAAAAATATGCAACATAATACTTTTCTGATTGTGATACTTTTTGCCTTTAGTTCTGATAGCTAATGTCTTATTATATTGGGGAAAGTATTAGACCTGGATCTTGGACTGATATTCAGCCTTCTAACTTAATCTTTCTGGACATCAGTTTGCTCATGTGTAAAATGGCCAAAGCAACCACCTAAGGATCTTTATAAACATCAATAAAACTATATTCATTTATTTAAGAAATATTTGTTGAGCATCTGCAGTGTGCTAGATACTGTCGTGGGCTTTGTGGATATGTCAACAAAGAAAACAAACAAAAATTCCTGCCCTAAGTTCCCATTCTTATGAAGGGAGACTAACAATAAACATAATAAGGAATTTATATGTTACAGTAAGTATTATGAAAAAAACTAAAACCGGTTAAGAACTATTTTTGTGCAGGTTAGCTGGGAATATGATTTTAAATAAGGGTATTAGGGTAGACCTCACTGCAGAGATGACATTTGAGTAGAGACCTAAAGAATATGTGGGAATGAATCACGTAGATACTTAAGGGGAAAGGTATTCCAGATAGGTAATAGACAAGGCTCTGAGGTTAAAAATGTGCCTGGATTATTTGCGGAATAAATTGAGGAGTTCAGTGTGGTTGAACTGGAATGAGCAAAGTGATTGTGGTAGGAGATGAGGTCAGAGAGATTAGAAGGGGACAGATTATGAAGGGCCTTTGGCTTTTACTCTGAGTGAAAAGGGAGCATTGAAAGATTTTAAGTAGAAGAATGACACATTCAGATTTATCTTTTAATAAAACCCATGCTGGATTTTCTTCCAGAAGGACTGGGCAAAAGGTCATGCCGTTTTCACTCACATGGGGAGTTCTTCAGAAACAGCAGGTTTACATGTTGGGCAAGATGAGTTCAGTTTGGGGTGCACTTTAGGTTTTAGAGATCATCTGTGAGCACTCTGAGGAAAGGGTTCAGCTGATACTACGTTTGTGAGTCACCAACAAGGACAAGGAGCTTGCTCAGGGAGAGTAAGAAGAGTAGAGGGATGTTGAGTGTTATCTGAGGACCACCACCATTTGAGGGAATGCAGAGGAAGAGACACTCCATGAAAGAGATCAAGAAAGCACAGTAAGATTCTGGATAAACTTTGAAGGTTGCACTAACAGAAGTTCTTGATGGATTTGATAGGGGTATGAGAAAAGAGAGCAGTCAAGGATGACTGCTAGATCATCTTGAGAATCTGGTCTGCTACTAATTCCAGCTGACAATAAAAGGTCCTAAAATGGGCATTTGAAAAATGTAGACCTTTTTCCTGCCAACTCTTAGATGAATTCAAGAGTTTGAGGGACATTGCTACATTGCAGAGATAGAAGGTTGTTTCTGTGAATTGAGTAGAACAGAAAAATTACCTTTTTAATTCAAATTTCATATTAAATTAGACACCTTATTCTACCAGGCCATTTTATAAACTGCTAATCAAGCTTGAGATGATTGCTTTTGTCTCAGGTGCCAAAACTCTGATCTAATCCATTGTGGGCAAGATGATAGAGTAACATGACCTCTGCCTGAGGGACTCTCATCTGAGGGTTGTAGGGTTGGCTGACAATCAGGATACTGTCTGGTATAAGAGAACTGTAATATTTTGCTAGTCTTTGCCCCTGCCTGAAAACAGGTACCCTAAAAGACGGGAAATTATTGATGCCATAAGAATAAACACCATTGTGAAAGGCTCTTCACTATTTTCCTTTCCCAAATGAAATTAAATGTCTTCTTATCTTTCTCTCTATATAATATTTTGAAAAGCATGCCAATTTATCAGAAATGAATCCATATATAGTTATGCTGTAACAAAAGGACATTATCTTATTTAAATAAATAGTCCCAAACAGACTTTTTTAATTTAGGAGAAATCATTGTTTCCTTTTCAGCTTTGGAGTCACATAGACCTGTGTTTGGTTCTACTTCTGCCACTTACTATCTCTTATCTTGGCCAAATTCATTCTCTGGGCCTCAGTTTCTCATCTGTTTTTTAAAAAAATGATAAAACTTACTGTTGTCATAGAGTTATTATGAGGATAAATGAAGTGCTATATGTAAAATATTTGATAAGAGTCCAGCACATAACAAATGCTTGATAAGTAGTTGCTCCAATTTTTTTTGTTATTATTACTAAGACATGGAAATAGTCTCATTAAAAATATCTAATCAGTGTTAATGATATTCATTAAAAGAAACTATACTCATTTCTGTTTCTAAAGTATCTGTTAAGTCCACTTCCAGTGGAAAGTATACTGCACAAAGCTAACCAAGTATTTTTATTTTATCTCTGCTTGTCTTTTATGAAACACGTTTGGCTCTTTTGTAGTTCTCTTGTGGAAAATATTTTACTTACTCGCGATGTTTTGTAGTTGATTTAATCTTAGCTTGTAGTTTTAAGAGGAGGGTAGGAAGTGCTGTTACCCAGTCTCCAGCACCATTGCTTGTGACTGCCTCGTATTGCCGTTGGATCCACAGAGACTCCACATCCACACTGTCTACATGGCAGCATTCGGATTCCCAAACACAGGTTTTGTAGGTGTCCGCAATGTTTCCTCATACACAGAGTAGTCCACTCCAGGTCTGAAAGACATTTCTGATTTTTTCTCATAACTCCAGACAATTATTGTTCTTGTTTACATTTCTAGGTTTGAAGAAAAGGCCCAAATGGATCCCCTTAGTGCTCTGAAATATTTACAAAATGATCTTTATATAACTGTGGATCATTCAGACCCAGAAGAAACAAAAGAGGTAAAGGGCGTAATAAACTTCAGAAATTGAACATTTTAAAATAAAATGTCTTCCTGACTTACATTTGCTGATTTTGCTCTCGGATGTTTTAAGGAAAGTATGATGACACTGATAATCTTAAAAATGGTACAGAGCAGATGAAATAAAAATTGAATAGGCATATTTTCATGTGTTAATATAAGATTCAAGTCGCACAAAAAATTCTTGATCCATTCAGAAAAGGATTCTCGGGTATAAAGTTTTAACTTAGACATTAGTTTTGTGTATTGGGAAGGAAATAGAAATTTTTACTACTTCTTTAGTCCCATGCCGCCTTTATTTAAGGATTACATAATGCTTCAATATAAACTTTTCTGTTGATACTCCATAATCCCCTAAGTGAAGAAAAGCTCTCTTTTTTTGTAGGGAAAAAGTGAAGAGGTTAATGGAAGTAGAATCCTTGCTACCTTGATAGTTAGTTTTATGAATGTCATAGCAGTGTAATTTGACTATAGGCTACTAACTTCATTCATCTGTAGTCCCTAAGCTTGAGAAATTAGTAACAGATCGTTACTTTTCAGTTTTTTTGTTACATAACATGGGATGGAAGCAATTGTTTCTGAATATTTAATATTCTTAGGGCATATTTGCTTATTCACAGTGTGTGAATATACTTACGGAGATTTTCATGGTCTTATAGCCTCTCTTCCCACTAACTTCTGAGATTACTTTTGTCACTTTTTCCTTTTGCCAGCCATCCTTGTCCATAGTTCATCTAGTATCATCTGAATTGCAATTCATTTTACCTCTAACTCACAGAATTGGTGCTAATTATATGTAGTTCTGTCCCTTACATCTTTTCCCCTTTTAGCTCTTGCTTTGTTTTGGCTTTTTAATAGCAACATCAAGCAGTGCTTTTCTCTGCTCAGCATTGACACAGGTTTCAGACTTAATGTTGAATCACTTTCAGGCACCAGGTTCATTGTACTTTCAAGTAGTAGAGCCTGCATGTCCTTGGCACCAAAACAAAGAGATACTCTTTCATAGTCGCCCACTGTGAAAATAAGTCTTATTTCTCTTACTCAGTATTGGTTACAGCCCTTCACCAAATGGAGACTCAACAGAATGCACTATAGAACCCCCCTGAAGGAGGACAGTTAGTTGTCTTTCCTTGAATCTTCAGTCAATTCATAATACTATTTAAAATAGTGGAAATTATCATAGTTTTGCTATGTAACAGAATGTATTTGGTTTAATCTGTTACGGCTTATAACTGAATAAGTTGTGAAAAGACCCTTAATGTTCATTTTGTTAGACCATGCATTTGAGAGTTATAAATAGATTTCCTTGTGTTTTTGCCATACTCTATCTAAAATGGCTATAGTCTGGGAACGTTATTTTTCTCTGATTTTTTAAAACCAAACCAAACCAAAATATTGCAAAGTAAATAATTTCAGCTGTGTGAGCTGCAAGTAAGCCAAAGAAAACAGACAGTTTGTTCTTAAAACTAAGCTAATAGGAAAAACCAGGACAGGGAGGTATCTCAAGTTCAAACAGAACCATTTAAAAAATTTTGGTACTAGGTTTCTCTTTTTCCTCTTTTCTGAGTAATACCAAATTATGATTTGGATGCCACAGACTTCCATTCCATTTCTTAAAAGATTCATCTATCAAGAGTTGTTTAGCCCCAGTAGAGAAGTTAGTAAAAATGGTGTTGTGCAGGTGTGTGTCAGCATCAGAATCACTTCAGAAAGTTTTTCAAAACAATACCTTCGCCCTAAGATTCTCTTCTGTCTGCTCTTATGTAACAGGAAACTGAACACACACCTGACATTGAGAATTACTGGCCTATAAGGTTATTTTGTTTTAAATTGTGTTAATAGCTTTTGTTTTGAGGGAAAAGAAAAATCCCTTGGTGACAGTTCCAGTATATATACTTAGAAAATTTAGGGGCCAGCCCGGTGGTGCAGTGGTTAAGTTCACACGCTCCGCTTCTATGGCCCAGGGTTTGCCAGTTCAGATCTCGGGTGCAGACATGGCACCGCGTGGCATGCCATGCTGTGGCAGGCATCCCACATATAAAATATAGGAAGATGGGCATGGATGTTAGCTCAGGGCCAGTCTTCCTCAGCAAAAAGAGGAGGATTGGCAGCAGTTAGCTCAGGGCTAATCTTCCTCAAAAGAAAAAAAAAGAAAATTTGTTAAGCATATAGATCTTGACTGATAAGAAATCATTCCATGTCTCGAAAAAGGCCTCACTGCTATTCATTTTCTGTACTAGCTTGTTTTTGTTCTGTATGTATGTTTTACAAAATTTTCACTACATTAAATGATTATATCAGGAACTAAAAGTAGTTTTTAGATTTTTCTCTTTTTTTTAGGGAGCAGTTACCATGATGATCATCATCACTGTGCCTGTTTTTGGGGAAATGATGGTGGACTACCAACTATATACCAAATAGTGGTTCTTTGCTTTCCTCCAGTCTCCAGAACATGAGTTCTAAATTGGTGATGAGCTTCTAATAAACGTTATGAAAATGATATTTTTTTTCCAGAAAAAGGCAAAGAAAAGAAGGCCTAAATTAATTCTACCGTTTTCAGAGAGGATTCTATAATAGAGAAGGAATAGGTAAAACAAGTTTTCAGCCAATGTTGCTCATTTTATATTAATTATACTTCTGCTGAGCTTCCAAGGTACTGGTGTCATTCATTTAATAGATGTGTATTGAGTCCCTACAATATGCCAGGCATGTAGGCACAGGAGATACATCAGTGAACTGAACAACATCCCTGCCCAGGAAGTACTTAGACATACCGGTGGAGGGAAACAATAACATATTAAATTAGCAAATTATAGAGTACATTAGAATTTGATAAGTATTATGGAAAAATTAAAAAGGGATAAAAAGAGTAAAGGGAGATCAGAAGTATAAGAGGTGAGAATTAGGCAAGTGCAGTATTAAATAGGATGATCATAATAGGCCTCATTTAGAAATGAGATTTGCACAAAGACTTGAAGGATGTGAGGGAGTGATCTAACTAGATAATTTGGGGAAGATAATTTCTGGCAAAGGGAGGGGTAGAACAAAAGAACCTAGGATGGGGGAATTCTGGCTTTGTTTTTGAGAACAGCAAGGAGGCCTGTGTGGCTGGAGTAGAGGTAAGGAGGGTGAGAATAGTCAGAGATGAGGTCAAAGAGGTAAGAGCAGGGATTGGGAGAACAGATTGTGAATAACTTTGTAAGTCGTTGTTGGGACTTTGACTTTTAGTCTAAAGGAATAAGGAGCCAGTTCAGAGTATTGTGTGTGCAGAGAAATGATATGGTCTCCTTTATGTTTTAATTAGATCACTCTGACTACTGTATTGAGAATAGACTAAAGGGGAACAAGGATGGAAGCAGAGAGACCTATGAGGGAGGTTGTAGAAATCGAAGCAAGGAATTGTAGTTCAGACTAACGTAGTAGGAGTAGAAATGGTGAGAAGTAAAATAGATCAGATTCTCAATATATTTTAAAGGTAAAACCAACAGAATTTTATGATGGATTGGATGTAGGCTTTAGAAAGAAATGACTTCAAAGTTTTTGGGCCTGGGAAACTAGAAGGATGGAGTTACTGTTAACTGAAATGAGAAAGCTCTGGGTGGAGCTGGTATCTGGCGGTTGTTGGGGACTCATGACTGGAATCAAAATTTTAATTTTGGATTTGTTCAGTTTGAGATGCCTATGAAACAGCCGACTTGAGATGTTGAGGCGATAGTTGGATATTGAAGTCTGGAGTTTGGGGGAGAGGTCTGGCTTTATTCAGATTATGTACTATTACTTGGTACCTAGTAAAATTCTAGACCAGTACATATCGGTTCCACTTATTTAATCAGATTGCCAAAATAACAGTTTTCTCCCCATCCTTCTGTATGTAGAGTCAATAAAGTTTATCTTTCACCTTAGAAGTTAGAAAAGAGAAATGAATTAACCCCCAAGTAAGTAGAAGATAGGAAATTAGTGAAATAGGAAACTAACAGTAGAAAAAATAAAAGTGAAAAGTTGGTTCTTTGAAAAGGTGAATAAAATTGGTAAACCCCTAGCAAGATTTATCAAGAAACAAAATAGTGAAAACATGAATTATCAACATTACAAATGAAAAGGAGAAATCATTACAGACCCTACAGATATTAAAAGGATAATGAGATATTATGAACAACTTTGTCAGCAAATTCAGTGACTTGATGAAATGGACAAATTCTTTGAAAGACAAAACTTACCAAAACTGACACAAGAAGAATTAGAAAATCTTAAGGAACTCCATATCAGTTACAGACAGAGATTGAATTTGTAATTAAAAACTTTTCAACAGATTAAATGCTAGGCCTGAATGGCTATATCAGTAAATTCTCAACCATTTAGGAAAGAAAAAATACCAATTCTATATAAACTGTCAGAAATCAGAGGAAGACAAAATACTTTCTAAATCCTTTTATGAAGCAGCTTAATGCTGATGTAAAAACCCAAAAAAGACGTTTTACAAGCAAAGAAAATACAGACCAATTCTTGTGATTGTAGATGCAAAATTCCTAAGAAAATGTTAGCTGATTGAATCCAGCAATATATAAAAAGGTTAATGCACAGTGACTGAGTTGGGGTTTATCCTAGGAATACCAGGTTGGTTTAACATTTGAGAATCTATCAGTGTAATTTACCACATTGACAGAACGGAGAAGAAAAACCATAGATCATCTCAATAAGTGAAGAAAAGCAATTGACAGAATTCAAAACCCATTCGTGATAAAAATTCTTAGCAAACTAGGAATAAAAAAAAGAAATATCCTAAATCTCATAAAGGGCATCTATGAAAAAAATACAGGTAGCACTATACTTAATTGTAAAACATTAAACCCTTTTCCCTAAGATTATGATGAGGAAAGAACATCTGCTGTCAGCGCCTCTATTCAGCATTGTACCAAGTCCTAGCTAGTGCAAGAAGGTAAGAAAAAGAAATAAACAGCATATAAGTTGGAAAGGAGGAGGAAAAAGTGTTTGCATTTGTAGATGCCATTATTGTGTACATGGAAAACCTCATGCAATCTACAACACAGTATGCTAAGATAAGTGAATTTAGCAAGGTTACAGAATAAAAGGTCAATAGGAAAAAACCCAATTATTTTTGTGCTAGCAGTGGACAGTTAAAAGATGAAATTTTAAAACCTGTTTGTATTAATAACAAAAAATAATCAAATACATAATGTCTATTGAAAGAAATTAAAGAATACCTAAATAAATAGAGGGATAAATCACATTTATGGATTGAAAGACTAAAAATTGTTAAGATGCCCATTCTCCTCAAATTGGTTTTTATTTTAATACAGTTTCTATCAATATTCAGGCAAGTTTAGGTTTCTTTTTTGTTGTTTCTGGACTAGCAGAAACAATCTTGAAAAAAGAAAAACAAAGTTGGAAGTCTCATACTACCTAATTATAGGATTCTATATAAAGCCACAGTAATCAAGGCACTGTGGCTTAAGGATAGACAAATAGATAATAGAACAGAATAGAATTCAGAAGTTGACCCACATATATGTGGTCAATTGACTTTTTGAGCAGGCTGCCAAGTCCAATGGGAAAAAGAAAGTGTTCTTAACAGATGGTGCTAAATAACTGGATATCCCAACCTATATCTCACTCTTAACACAAAATTAAGATGGATTATGGATCTAAATATAAAACCCAGAACAATAAAACTTCAAGAAGAAAACAGATTATCTTCACAACCTTGGGAGAGGAAAAGATTTCTTAGACGTGACAAATGGCACTAATCATAAAAGAAAAAACTTTATAAATTGGACTATAAAAAAATTAAAATTTCTACTCATTACAAGACATATTAAAAAAATAGGCAAGCCACAGACTAAATAATATTTGCTGTAGATTTATCTGACAGAGGACTGATACACAGGATATGTAAAGAACTTTCTATATTTTAAACTCTTCCTTTCACCCCCTTTTTCCCTAACTCTTTCTTAGATAGCTACTTCTGGAATATTTGTCAAATTTCTGACCTTCAAAGGACTTCTAATCAGGGCTCACAAATATTAGTGTGATTGATACCTGAAGTTTTAAAGTCTGCAAGCATAGGTGTGAAATACAGCTGAGGAATCGGTGGTATCAGCTGCTCAGACCTTGCCAAGTGCCAAGTAACTCCACTGAGAGTCTCCTCATTTGTCTACTCTTATTCCTTCCTTTAACTTGCCTATTTGCCAGCATCCTCATCAAGATAAATATAAATAGTTCTACATTTTTACTTTTTACCAATTTGTTAAATTACCTGTGTTGAAATAGTTTTCTTATTTTGTTTCATTGTTGTTGAGTTACATGGTCTGTTTTAAAGTAATTGGCTAGCCTAGGAATCTAATCAACGTTTGTAACATTACTTCAGTGTATAAAGGCCTATGAATCTTTATAATTATATAACAGTATAATTATACATGACTGTGGAATCCCAATCTAAGTTGTAATTTAGGAATGGCCTATACATAATAACCATGCTTTTTCCTCAGAATTTAATTTACACAGCAGAGAGATCAGGTATTTTACAGTAGCATGTATTTATTTAATTTTATTTATTTACTTTTTTTTTGAGGAAGATTAGTCCTGAGCTAACATCTGCCGCCAATCCTCCTCTTTTTGCTGAGGAAGACTGTGAGCTAACATCTGTGCCCATCTTCCTCTACTTTATATGTGAGATGCCAACCACAGCATGGCTTGCCAAGCTGTGTGTAGGTCCACACCCAGCATCTGAATTGGTGAACCCTGGGCTGCCAAAGTGGAACATGTGAACTTAACCACTGCGCCACCGGGCAGGCCCCAGCATGTATTTATTTTTTAAGTGAGAACGCACATATACTAAAAATTCAAGAGGGCTGGCCTGGTGGCACAGCAGTTAAGTTCTCACATTCCGCTCCCATGGCCTGGGATTCGCTGGTTTGGATCCCAGGAGTGGACCTACACACTGCTCGTCAGGCCGTGCTGTGGCAGGTGTCCCACAAATAAAGTAGAGGAAGATGGGCACGGATGTTAGCTCAGGGCCACTCTTCCTCAGCAAAAAGAGGATTGGCAGCAGATGTTACCTCAGGACTTATCTTCCTCAAAAAAAGTAAAATTCAATAACTGTGTGCAGGACACCAATCTATCTATATTTGATAGATTCCCAAATGAGTAATTTTCTTTTTTATTTCAGTTGACCTGTTGTTCCTTAATAAATACATACTTTAATAGATTTTAAAAATTAAATAATTGAAGGACTTGGTCCAGTATTTTGGAAAATGATAATAGCAGGCCAGTAGAAAAGTCAGCATATTCTTTAATCTAAATGGGTGTTCTTATTGCCACTATTTGGACTTATGCAGCAACATGAACTGAGACTTCCAGTGGCTAATAAATGGTCAAAATTACATGTTATTTTTCTCCAACGTGCTTAGCCAGCTAATTTGCTTCTATTTTTCTTTTACAGTTTCAGCTCCTAGCTTCAGCTCTGTTCAAATCTGGTTCAGATTTTACAGCTCTGGGTAAGTATTCCAATATAGTTTATCCAGCCAGATGCCCTGGCAATTGGGAGGTTGGATTTTGATTTATTTTAAATGAAACATTAGGTGAGATGTTTATCCAAACAAATGAAGCAGGTTTCAAGATAGCATGCAAAATTTCTAATAACCTGTTACAAGGTTATTTTCCAACCATCAGTCACCAGTTCATGGATCAGTTTGCAGTTTCTGTTACACCAGTTACTGAGCTACTCTGCAAACAGGTGGCAATAGAAGCATGATCAAAATTAATTAATTTATATAGCATTGTTTTGGAGTTCAGGCTGTATTACTGATATACTTACTATGAGATAGCATTTGTTGGTTGAATGGTTTTTCCTCTCAGTGTGTTCTTTGTGGAATTGTGAGGTGTCAACAGAATGGTGATGGGATAGTAATGAAATAAATGTTTAGGAGCAGAGAAGATAAATTAGCTCCTTCCTGAAAATGGTAATTTTTTCTATGTTGGTATCTTCATTGTTTTAAGTGTTTCTCAAACACCCCAGATATGGCCATCAGTCTTTGTTTAGGAATACTCTCACTGAGTATTAATGAGTTGTTAAAGTGGTTAAACTAGGCTATGGTAAAGTGAGGAGTCTGTAGAAGTTCCAGAACCCAGAGCTTTAGTCAGGTGAATTTTCAAGGATCTTTTTGTTAGCGTAAATCATTATTATAGCTTCAGTATTTCAACAAGATAGTTGCCTTTTAAAGTATGAGAATTTCCTCTTATCATTATAAAATGTCACACGGTGGATACATATTTATCCCATTGATGTTAGTGCTGTTATTTGCCTTAGAATTGAGCAATAGTAATGAAATTTTCCAGTGTATGTAATATAAATCCTACTTTTTATCTTTGGAATAAAATAACTCTTTGGGATGTCAGTTTAATTTCTTCTTCTTTGTCCTTTTGTCTTTTTAAAGGTCTTTGTCTTTGAACCATACCTCAAAGGAAAAAAGAGATATATAATTCTGGTGGTTTTCACTGGGATGGGAAAAAATAGCAATGTTCCTTGGGGTCTTGCCCTTTCTTTTTCCATAACAAGTAATTGAGATTTCTCTACTGATCAAAGCAGCTCCAATCCTGAGTTCTAATTCCAGAATATGTGGGATTCCACAGGGCAAGACAGAATGGACTACTATAAAACATAACTCCAATAGGTTCTCCTAAAAATTTAGAGAATTGTTTACCACTATTCCGTGCACTCAAGGGCTTTTAAAGAATATTTTTAGGCTGTTAAAAATCTCAATCTGGTGATGTAGAATTTAGATGTAAGCATTATTTTAGAAAGTTTATACCCTTTTGAATTTTATCATTTGAAACAAAGATCTAGTGATACATGAATTGGGAGCCTGGCACATAGATGTTCAGTGTGAATGAATGTGTGCCTTGTTGTGTATGGACACCACAGCCCAGAGCCATTATTTTTATTTCTTTGGTAGGCAGCACTAAAATGTCTCTGGCTGACTTATATTTAACCTTTAGAGCAAGAATTTCATGGCAGTTATTTAAATATGTTAGGCTAATGTGAGCAAATATTCTACCTTTAGCTTAACTCCTTTCTTCTGTCTCTGCCCTATTCACTGTAAGCTAACATATTTTGTTGGAAGTGATTTGTTTTACTTGGATTCTAGAAAACAATAGAAAAAAATACAAAAAGGGAAAATTCCTATTGGGTCTTATTTCCCACCTTGAAGGGAGGCAGTATGTTTAGCAGTTAAGAGATCAGAGTGTGGTGTAGTGGTTAAGACTCAGAATCTAGGTTCAGATACCAGCTCTGCCACTTGCAAATTTTAAAAGTGACTTTGAGCAAGTCACCTTTTTGATCATTAAAGTAGTGAGAGTACTACCTCAAGTTGTTGAGAGAATTAAATGCAATAATTATGGAAAACAGCACAATAAAACACTTAGTAAGTGCTCCATTCAGGGTATTGTTATTATCACCTCCCTCAAAAATATAATCTTCTTTGTAACATTGGTAAATTTGGATGAGATGCAAATTCAGGTTGTATGCTAATTTTAACAAGGAAAAATTTGATATATTATTTATAAACAAAAAGATCTTTTCATGGCTATTTAGAGTTCCTGGTTCTTGTTCTCATTCATTTTCTGTCAGATTTTTTTACCTTTACTCTACTTAGAATTGAAATCAAATGGGTTATTTTATGTGTAGATGTATACATCTTACATCTATAGATAAAATGAATATTTCATTTTCTGAATTCTCCCCCCAAAATTTTGCCTCAGCCAAATTTCCTATCTGCCTTCAGAATTAATCCAGTTTATCTTAACTTCTTAGTGAGAATTAAAAGTATTTACTAATGTTATATGTAATTTAAAGAATTAAAGCTGGAAAGTGATTTACAAACAGCTGGCATTATCTTAGTTTTGGGAAATGACTAACTTTAGAGAAAAATGACCTCTGGGGGTCTTTAGCATAGAGTTTTTGGTGGCTGTGGGTACTTTTAAGCTTGAACTCAGACGTCTATTTTCCTAATTTATATTGTTGATTCATTAACATTGAACTCACAGCCAACAGCACTATATCTCATTCCTGAACAAAGCTTATCTAACACATGTATTTTCTCCATAAGGCATATCACAACCTTCTCGCCCTTGAGGAATACTAGATAGCCCTTCAGCAATATACTTGGGGGCCATTTTAAGCAGTGAAGTCACCAACAAAAAGTACAGAAATGTGAAGAACATGGCACTAAATAGACTGTGTAAAAGACACTTGAATATGAACAAAACCAAACAAACTTATTTATCAAATTGGTAACATTACCACACAGAAGGGAAAAAAAGAAAATTAAACCAAAGTATAGTGCTTAGACTATATACTTTCAGGAAATAGATTCTAAAGACCAAAAAAGCAAAGAAATCTTGAGTTTTTGCTGGTAGTGGTATGGGTAAAGTAATTCTAGAACTTGTGTGTATTTTAGGTTGAGCAAATGAGTAAATATGATGTTGCTGGGGGGAGGTTTTCTTAGTGGAAGAAAGGAGATGTAAATATGGAATAGGCTAAGGGAGAGGAAGAATCCTATGTGGTTCTTAAAAAATTGGAATTAGCAATAAAAGCATGTACTAATGATTTTATTTTAAAAAGTGTATATATAATATGTGTGGACATATATGAATAGGCCTACGACAACAGCAGCTTTGGCAATTAGCACAGCTGATTTTGGTTTCTAAATATCATTCACCACTAAAAGGAATTAGGGCTCCTTGGATAAATGTCTGACTCCAGAGCTGTGTAAAGTGAGCTTGCATATCTTGCTGCACCAGAAAGTAAGGAAGTACTCAAAAATTAATGGAGAAATTTCAAAAAGACATAGAAGCCAGCTCAAAAGAACTCTTACTGGCTAAATCTGGGACAATATGAGTATTAAAATGAATAATGATAGTAATGGACATAACATACTGAACAAGAAAAGGATCCATGAGTATATACTAATGCAAAGAAATGAAATGGAGGGAGGAAAAGCTCTTCTTTACAATTAATGTCAATCAATAAATCTAGAAGGAATTGTAGTTAGAAAATCACCATCATATAAATAATTGTTTTAGCAAGAATCATCAGTGAATGCTAAAGTCATTGGGTGCATTTGTTGGGGAACAGGATATTTGCACAGTCTAACACTATATTCTCATCAATATCTTATTAATTGCAAAGGTAGAAAAGAACACCTTTACATTGGAGAAATCTGGCATGCACAAGCTTAACCAGGTGATCAAAGTTAACATCATCAGTATTGGGAAAAACTGATAACCCGTGCTTCCTGAGGTGATGCACTGAGAAGGACACAGTATCACTTATGTAGTCTTCTTGCAAAAACAGCATAAACTGAATCTGATCATGAGGAAGCAATCAGACAACTCAAATTTAACACATTCTGCTACATAACTGGTCTGTGTACTTCATAACTATTGATGTCATAAAAAACAGAGGCTGAGGACTATTCCAGACTAAAGAGACTTGCAAACTAAATCTAAATACAATGTTTGATCTTGCATTGAGTTTTAGATTAGTGGGGAAAATGACTAAAGAAGATTATTGAGATATAAATGTTAAATTTTCTAAATTTAATATAAATTTATTGGTTTTTTAAATTTAGTGGTTATTTAAGTGAATGTTCTTGTTAGGTGAAATGAACTCAAGTATTTAGGGGTGAAGATGTCTACAGTTTTCTTCCAAATTATTTCACAAAAAGAAGTTTGAATGGGGTACACACACACACACGTAGAGAGAGATTGAGAACGTAATAGGGAAAATGTTAATTGATGAATCTAGGTGAAGGGTATATGAGTGTGTGTTGTACTATTCTTGAAACTTATCTATGAGTTTGAAATTTTTCAAAATAAGTTGAAAAAAATTTAGAAAACAGAAAAGCATAAAATAGAAAAAAAGAATATCTCACCATTCAGATATAACCTTTGTTAACTTTTTAGAGTATTTCCTTCCATTCATTTCTATGATATGATAGATAGTAGGCTTTGTTAAAGCTTAAACTTGGCTCAAAGGAATAAACATTTGCCCTCAAACTTAAAATAATAATAAAATTTTTTTAAATAAAAAGGAATGTACCTTTCTGGAGTCATTGTTTATTTTCCTTCCAGGAAACTGGTATCCTTGGCAATATTACATTCTATTCATGTTCTTTATGAGATTAAAAAACAGATTGCACCTAAAACTGTATTCTAAGTTGAAGAAAATTGGTCCGATTTGAAATAGTTTTCACTAAGTATCATGGCATGTATAACTCTGGCTTTATTTTTGTTTCCAGTGGCACTCAGTAGCGTTCTCATGTGTCAGTTAGCGGTGTCAGGAATGGCTAACGACTAATTTGTCAATGTCAAAGGACTAGTTTGTTTGTTATTTACATACTTCGTATGTGCATTAAAAAATTGAAGCAGCTAGGAGCAATACGCTGGCTGACTAAAGGAAAGAGGTAATCTCGCTGCATATTCCTTTGGCTGGAGCAAACTTGAAAATTAAACGTTTACTAGAGGTTAAAGGGAAAAAATCCTTTAGTTCAATGACCCCCACCTTTTAAGAATGTCATCCACTTTCTAATATTCATCTGGATAAAAGTAGTTCATTGCTCTGTTTTCTACGTAATGTGTGTCTAGCATAGAGCCTGGTACAAAATACGATAAAAATATGGTATTTGCTGTGTGCCAGTGCCATTCTACATATGGGACATGCATTTCTTTCCCTCAGCCGTCTATATTTTCACCTCAGTTCTCTGAGACTACTTCCAGCTCTGAAGGTTTGAATGATTTTAGACGACTTTCTAAAGACCCCTTTCATTTTGATTTTATTATATTTTTATTATCAAAAAAGTTTTAGTGGTTCAGAAGTGTTTATAAAGTCAGAAAAGAAGAGTGAAATTTCCTCAGTGGACTAGAAAAGAAAATGCTTGTAAGGAAAAGAGAGAAATCATTATCAGTTACTAAAGTGCCAGTCTTTTGGCTAGGTGCTTTTCACATAATTGCATTGAATCTGCACAATAACTCTGAAGTAAACAGGGTTATCACAGGTTTACAGCTGGGAAAACAGTTGCAGAAAGGCTGATTAACTCACCTAAGTTCACAGCTAGTAGAACTTGGATCCAGACCCTTGTCTATCTGGTTTTAAAGCCTGATTTGGTTTTAATTTTTCCATTATACATTGCTGCTTTTCTCAACTACCTTTTCTGTTACATGTTGAATTTAAACACAATGGATGAGTTTCTTTGTATCTCTCCTTACCAGGCTTTTCAGATGTGGATCACACCTATGCTCAAAGAACTCAGCTCTTTGACACCTTAGTGAACTTCTTTCCTGACAGCATGACTCCTCCTAAAGGCAACCTGGTAGACCTCATCACACTGTAACTGAAGAGGCCCTGGACGGTACTGGAGACCGGGAGTCTGCTTTCAGTATTGTGGATTTCAACTCTGTTGACCGACCGTTAGGCTGCAGTGATTGAGGACTGCACCAGAGTTCTGAAGGGATCTTTGTCACAAGTTTTAACCCTCTTCCTTCATACCTGACCTCAACCCCATTCTCCTCATCCCATTCCTAAATTAGGCTAATAAAGTGAAATTGATATACTTTCCATTTAAATATATATATATATTTTTTCTTACTTTAACTTTTAAGAATTAATGAGTATAAAAAAATCAGGCAGGTTACCCTTTTCTGATTTTTATTTCGTTTTTTAAAAATTGGGACGAGTAAGCACTATTAGACTCAGCGCTACAAGAACTGGGATTTTGTTGTTGTTGGGTTGCTTGGCCTTTCTTCTTTCTCCTCCCTTCCCATTTCACTTTACCTTGCTTCACATGACTGCTTGTAAGTGGTGTTACTTGTTTACCTCTTCACTTCGTTCTTAACAGTATATAGTTCTGTAGGACAGCTGATGTATGTTAAGGTGATGTATGTGTCTCTGTTGACTAGAGTCTTAGTACTTTAAACATTGAACAATAGGAGGAACAGAGGGCTCAAATTTGCACTCCTTATTGTAGAACTAAAAACTGAACCCCAAGGTTGATCTAGGCACTTATCTGAGATTGGTATGTAGTATTTCTATGATGATATATTTTATAGTGGAAATTACAGTAGCTTTGAGTCACAGAAACCTTAAACTGAGGAGAGTATAGTTCAGAACCTTTAAGAGCCATTCTAAAAATTACCAGCAAGAGGATTCTAATAGTAATTAATATGTTCACTTACATCTTCATAGCAGTTTTGGAAGAAAATGTCTCTTTCCTCTGGTAGAGCTGTGCAGAACTAGGGCTTCCATTTCTCCTTGTGCTATCTCTGTGGTATTTTCCTTTGGGAGGGTGAGTTTCCAGAGCTATGCTTTTATTTCCATACACATTGGCTCCCTGCATCTGCCTCTGTGTACTGATATGTTTTAATAATAATGGCATTTCATTAAGCACACACACTAGGCTTTTTTTTAATGGAGAAAAAAATAATGGGGCAAATATTTTTTCATTGAACTAAAAGAAAGGTATGGCAGATGGGCTTTTCCACTGTTCTGGTTCTTTTGGGGTGGGAGTGAGGTGGAGGTATGTATCTTCCCGTGAGGTACTGCGGAATGCAATGTAGGAAACTTGTGCCTGGCCAGTGCTCAAGTGTGCTGCGTGCAACTGATAGCCACCATGCTTAAAGCAGACTCAGTATAATAAATGTCCATCAGTCCAGTGGCTGTTAAAAGTGAATGACTGCACAGAATTGAGTATATCCCTGAGTAGCAAGATCCGGCCTCACCAAAGAAAGAGAGAAAAGATTGACCTGCACTTTCAGAAAGTCTAATGTATAGGAATGAGACCTTGAGATCCCTCTTCCCTCTGTCTTTATTGCATGGTTTCACTTCTTTTAGGGATGGACAGAAATATATTTTTCCTAGTTCTAGGCTTGAATCTTAGGCTCCTTGGCTCTCCGAGCATCCCAAAAGCAATCAGTAGTGATTTATTAAACAGTTAGATCTCCTTACCTTGTGAAAGGACTAGTATATAATTCACTAAGTACCAAATTGTGTAGCTACAGAATAACCAGTTGACTTTACAAGTGAGCAGATAGAATTTGCTCAAGAGCATAAACAGTCAAGAACATAAAATATTACTATCACTAATATTGTAGCCTATTGAATCTCAATTTGTGGAAACAGGTACAAATCAGAGTTGATAGGGAGGAACTTGAACTTGACAAGAGTTTCTAAATTTAAAAGCTCTAGTTTTGCTGACTCTGAATTCTGGCACTTTAAAAACATTAACCAAATGAAATTCTGCTGCCCTCTACCATTTATTTTTATAATACTTTCTTTATCATTTTTTTCATTAGTTCCTTAGACTCCCTATATGGAGGAAACTCAGTTTCCAACCTCAGTGATTTTGTTTTTCCCTAACTGACTCTGTACTAGTTGTTTTTTTAACATATGCTTGTTTTAATTTCGTCTTTCCTCACTTTATTTAGGTAAAACATTTCCCCTTCATTTCTGGGGTTTTTTTTCACTAACATGTTTAAATGGGGTTGAATCATAGTGAACCATTTTGTGTTGCTTAAGTGAGATAGACTGTACTGGGCAGGTTATTCACTAGCTAAGTCAGAATTTGTACCATGGGCTTTATTGGGGCACTGTTGAATGATTGCAGGAGAATGTTAGGGCTTCATTATATATGACCACGATTGGCACATTGCTCTCATTTCACATCAGAACGCTGATTTAAAACTTGTTTATACATTTAGTGAGGAGGAGGTACATATATTTCCAAGAATTCTAGCAGTATATTATAATTTAAATAATCTAACTTGGTATTTAGGTACATTGTTTAGGTAGCCAACTGTCTATGCTTTACAACTTAAAAATCTTTTCATTCTAGTTTAGTGAGTTCCAGATTGAAACAGCTGGCTGATGCTTAGCTGCATTAGTTAGTGAGGTACAACTTGCTCGGTTTCATTATCCCTACCTTGATCTTCGTTCCCATTTCTCATTTCCCAGTGGAATATATTATTCCAGAATAAAAAACTAGAAATAGATATAATAGATAATTTTAACTAGAAGTAAATTAGATCTCTAACATTATTTTCAGTGCTTATACTTCATGAGAAATTATCTATTTCAAGACACTTCTAAAATATATTTGCATTTTGTGAAATAACAGAGACCTCATGTGGCCAGCTTGATTAATTCAAATATATCAATCTCTTATCCAAGCAAAGGAATTCAGACTTGGGTGCCTAACTGTGTGCTAAAGCTGACAGACAGTTTTAACCTTTAGCAAGATCATCCTTTTATCCCTGGTTTCCGTTTATTCTAAAACTGACCTGTCCATGTCTAATAAGTAAAAATTGATAGAAAACATTAGAAAGTTAATTCACTGGTTTATCATAGAAACGCTTGTTGGGTTTAGACCTCAGTGATTAGTTTACGATTGTAAAGCTACGTCCTTGGGTGAAATATTTATGTTGAATATAAATGGTTGCCAGCTTATCCTTCCAGTGGATCTCTTCACATCTGCCTTAAAAGTGCTATTTAGAGATACATTAATAGAGTTTCATATAATAAAACAGAGTTTTAAAAATCTAACCTACAAACAAAACTAGTTTGAGGCACTTAATCATTTAGTGAGAGATTGAGATTGATGCTTAATGGATCAGAAAGCACTTAGAAAGAAGTATATTCCTGATTTTATTATCTGAATTATACTCAGTTTCATGGTAATTACATGAAGAAGTTTCCCTATAATTATTCTTAACACTATATGACATTCATTGGGTAACTGTGGGTCATTTATTTCCTGAGTGAATGTTGAGTTAACTCTTCAACTGGTTGAATGTTGCAAAGCAGTTGAGAATTATGGTTTGAGTGATTTCTGTGGGAGGGGATCATTACAATGGGTACTCTAAATGAAGTCATTGAGCTATAAAAAATAGACGCTTTGTAACCCCTCTTTTCTTAAAAATCCCTGTTCATCTGCAATCTCATCCTTTTGCAGAAGTTCTGGCTTGAATTTTTGTTAAGTTTTTAAATTCTTGAAATAGTCCTTGATCTGGGATACGCAGGCTCTCTCAGAAAAAGTTGATAGTTTTTGGAGGAGTTACATAGAGGGTCTGCGTATGACAGTGTTTAAAACAGATTACATCTTTGGGCTCTTTCACTCAAAGGTGTTTGTATTCCTTCTTAGTCAAATAGCATTATTCTTTTGTGATTTTTGATGGTGCTCTGTACTCCCCTCTGATTAGTAATAATGCTGAAGTGACTTGGCTGTCCAAAACTGGTCTAGAGGTCCTACACTTGAAGGTGGAACTTTCTAAGTTTGCTGAAATTATTACTTAGGAGCCAACTAGATCAGCTGAATGATGTTGCCAGTGTGCGTCTTGGGGAGGGGGGCTCATTATTGCAGTTTATTGATTTCTTTGCCAAGTGCTCTTTTTATTTTTCTCAAAAAATGCTATCTTAGAGATTTGATTTATACATAGTTTTTTAACCCTAGTTTCCTCCTGTCCACCATATATTGTGAATTGTTTCCATTATTTTTCTTGCTAATCTGACTTTATTCTTGGCTTTTTTAGCCTGGACTTCCTAGGTTTTCTGTGGCGTTACTTACAGGTGTTGTACTGCTTGAGAAAAAAAGGTCAAAATCATTCTGAGGCAAACATGCTCTTTTATCCTTGTTTATGACAACAGAATAGTGAAATTAAAAATTGTACGTTATTAAAGAATTAATAATTTTCAGATATTGCTGTAGACATACTTGAGTCATTCTCATTTGGGAGACAGTAATATGCCTATGGCAGCTTTAGGGAAGGAGCCAGTGTTGGCTGCTTTTCTTGGCACTGGGTAGTCTAGTCATAAAACTATTGATAAGGTACAAGTTTCATAGCAGAGCTCATGGAATTCAGCAAATTGCCAGAATTTCCTTTTGCCTGTTGTACTTTCTTTTCTTCATATGTGTTAGCCTTTTTTTCCCCTACTCCCACCTTTGAGTAACATTGATTTTCTGCTGAAGTTGGAATTTGTGTTAAGAATTGCCTTTCAATTTGTGGTATAATTTAGTATTAGGAATAGCTTTGATTGCTATGAAATGATTAGTATTCATTCATTTTTTTCTTAAATAAAAATAATGCAGCCTTATAAATGTCTCTTCCCCTGAGAATGTGAATTTAGCTCAAGTTCCAAATGGCTAAATCTTATTCCCAGTCATAGCCACTGAGAGTAGATGCTGTGGCCTTTAACCTGAGGAGTCGTTAGAGGTTAGAGTAAATCAGATTTTCCAGGGGTGCAGACAGAGGGGCCCTTGTGGGAAACCATATCACTATATGTCTTAGTCTGTTAGGTAGAACTCGAAAGTTACTGATCTTGAACCGAATCCCAGTTCAAAACTTAAAAACACAAAAGTCAAAGGGTAGTTCTAGTTTTTCTTTCACATTAGAGTCGTTATTTGGAAATAAGATTTGCAAATATGCTATCATGTCCTCAAGCACTGCCTAGCTGGATTGAAAACAGAATGTTATGTGGATGTTATCCAGGAGCAATAGGGTCAGCAACAAAAAAGGGGGGGATGTTTAGTAGAGAAGTAGACCAGTTGTAAGATATCACTTATAATTATGAAATTGTGTCTTCGTCTTTATCTGCTGTTCAGTCTCAGTGAACTATTAAACATTTGTGTGCAGTGTCCTATTTTGCCTGTCTGTGACATTTCTACTTGGAAGTATTGAACCTCAGAAATAGAGCTAAAGAAGAGAATGAGGATATGTTAGAAAAGGAAAAATAGGAGCTTTTTTGCTCGTGGATTTGAAGGTTCACAAATCTAAATAAAAAAGAAAGCTCTTCGTTTCTAACCCTAAATTAATTTTATTAATGCAGTGCTGCGATGAAGACTTGCAAAAGGGATCAAAGCTCCGTTATTCTGAATAGTCTTTGGAAAGCAGCATTTCTTGGTTTGTTGCTTTTCTCACCTGCTCTCAAATAGCCATTAGAGATCTTGAAACAGAAAAGCCGGCTTCAAGAATATGCCATTTATTATAGAGTCTCAGTGTAATGGGCTCTAGATCTTAAAATAGGTGAGCGGCTTCTTATATTCAGCCATTTGCTTAATAAGGGTCCAGAGGGAAAACCAGCCATAAATTTTTAACATACAGTTCTGGGCCTCCCATGGGACTTGCTTTCTTTTCGAGTTTAAGCTCTTGCAGCAACACAGCTCTGCACTGTGTGGGATGCTAGCATTCACAGCAGTGAGTTTGGATGTCTGAGCTGTCTGCCACACGAATACCAGCCTGAGGAGATCATCATTCTTCAGTTTCATTCAGTGCTTAATGAATGCCAAATTAATTGGCAAAAAGGAAAAACACTGTGTGATATAGTGAACAGGCTTATGTGCATGATTAAGGAGTTGCTCAATTAGCCAATTTTGAGCTTTATTTCTCTCCCTTGGTAACAAATCTCAAGAAAGCCTTGGTTACAGTTTAGCTAGTGTCATTTGGTTGGTGGTCATTTTCTAGCCCTTTAAAATAAGAAGAAAATTGTCATTTCATGTTTAACTTATAACCCATAAAGAATTGAACTGACATCAATTTAGTTTCTGTGTTTTAAAATAAATTAATTATACATAATCCTGAGGGTCTCTGTTTATTCTGCTTTGCCAAGAAATACATGAATTCTGGGCTTGGCATTAGAAGTATTTAATAATTTTTGTTTATTTTCAGGTTTCCTCCACATCTGTAAAGTAATTAAGTAAATTAGAGAAGGTATCTAGAATAAGTCCAATTCCACTGCAGCTGGCAGAGCTTTATAGATTAATTTTGCAACAAAGGAGATCTTTTACCATCAGGGCCATGCCATCAGATGTTTGCAAGTTAATTTTTTAGCATGTTGCCTTGTAGTTGCCGTGTTTACCTTCTTGAGATGAAAGGGGGGAAAACTGAGGACAGATGCATGGCATTACGTTTTTTTAATTGCTTCCTTAAGAAGTCCTAGGGTACTTCCACCCTTGTAAAGACTTAGCTTAATTTTACATATACACATCAGTTATACTTATAAAAGCACTGACTACAAAATTATAAAACGTACTAAAGTTAATTGTCTACCCAACCCAAAATCTGATAGTAGAATATTAAAGTCCAAGTTTAAATATGAGTAGTCTTCTGTGAGAAAGATATGTTTTAAAAAGTTATACATTTGGTCTCCTTGAGATTTTTTTCCTTTCCCAGAAAAATGTTTTTGGTGACTGACTAGTTGTAAACTATTTTCTCCCTCAATTGTAAACTACCAATTTAGAGAAATAAGTGAACTTCTTCTCTTAAGCATTACATTTAGCCTGGCCAAGAGATGCTGTGATTGTGTTATTCTTTAAGCCAGCCTGCTTTTTTGACTTGTGTAAAATGTTTTGAAATGAATGTCAGAAAGTATAATATTAATTTTTCCCTTATGTATAGTCTTTGGCTCAATTTAGAAATTGCAGAATTAATGTGACATTTTTCAATGAGCAGATTCTTTTATGGATATATGTGTTTTTCTTTTTAAAGAGATTCCTTCCCTTGTCACCACTTCAAAAGCTATGCACAGTTGAGTCTGCAGCCTCAGAAGAAGAGGACAGGAAAGCTAAGATGAGGACTTCCTTTTCTTGTCTTGGTCTTGGTAACAAACATTATTCCTACTTTCCAAAATAGCATATTTATAGATATGCAGCTTGGGAAAGATGTTGGAATTTTTTTAAATAAACTCTTTTACTTCTTTTATAAATTAAAATTACTCAGTGGCCAGAATTTAGGATCCCTTCAGATAGAGATAAATCCTCAAAAAGCAAAGATGGACTGGAAATTAGATTGATAAGATACAGCTCCATCCGTAGTCAATAGAATCTGTCCTTGCACATCTGCTTATTAATGCTGTGGATAGCTCCTTCTCTTTATTAGAACGTCTCCTTTACCGGAACATGGTGTTACAGCAACCAGTTCATCTGAAAGTTGGAAAGTGTTAAATATCTTTTATAGGACCTCTGAATAATAACATTTATTGATTTTTGTGATTATAAAAATATAGTTGTCATAGAAATTACTGAATGTAAAGAAGGAAAACCACTATTAACTAACTGATGAAACTTACTCATTTCATTTTTCCTGACTTCCTTCTGTTACCCAGCATAGTAAAGGCCAGAAAAAGAAAAAAAAAAAATTGACACAGCCATTCTCATTGTCTTTTACCACATGTGTAGAGGACTGGGGTGCATTTGTCCCTACCTGTACTTATAGTCCTTTAACCATTGCCCTTTTCTAGACAGACAGTCTGAAAATAATTCTGTGGATATATAACTCTTAAGTCTGAATTATGGAAGTAAGATATTACCCAGAAGCTATAGGGAGCTTCCTTGTTCAGGTCGTCAGCAATTTCATCTCTAAGATTCATTTGAATTTTTAAGCCCCTTATGCATCTTTGTGGACACTTGGAGCATATTCATACCATGAAGAGCTTTCTGTTTAGATGGACTTTTAAATATGACCATAATTAAACCCACACCCAAAAAGGATGAGGTACTTTTCAAAGGCCAAAGGAAAAGCAGAGAAAAAGCAAAGCAAAAGAAAAACAAATGAACATAAATGTAAATGAGGAGTCCTTGAAACAAAAGTTCCTTATTGTGCTTAAGCAAGTGTCTCTCCAAAAATGTATTTCTCTGCTCACCAGCTAAGATTCAGAAGTTTTTTATTTCATATGAGACTCCTTTTGTGTGTGAAGGAGAAAACTGCAACCTTTCAGGGTTCTGCTCTTTCCTTTACCCTCCTCTTCTGTGGCAACATGGGGTTAGGACTGTATCCCAAAGTATCTAAATCAGAACTGGAAATCATGAGGGAAGTCTGGAACCACCGAGCTCATTGGAGCTATTGAACAGAAGTGCTTTTTGGGCATCAAATCTTAATGTCATTACTGTTCTATGTCATTGTTGGGTTATGTTGAGTGTGTTCTGCAATCTTCCCTATTCCCCTCATGACCCTCTCTGGTTTCTTACTTTTGTCCAATCTGTATGAGCTTTTTAGGTGGTTTGTTTCTTTGTTTAGTACAAGTAATTTTCTGATCCCAGGTTTGGTGAATGTGTTAACACTGCTTTGTGAATAAATAAATGAGTGATCTGCTGAGCAATTGCAATTGTAGAATTATGTTGTATGTAATGTATATATGGAGAAAGAATGTATTTTGTTCATTTTCTTAATAAAAAGTTATATATGGACACTACAAGATGTCTCCTGTGTTGGCTAAAATTACTTTTTAAGTCAACTTTTAAAATATTTCCATACTTTGCACTTGTTCTACTTTTCTCTCAAAAAGGTGAGTTTTATTCAGGCTTCCAAAGACCGAAAATGATACATACTGTAGAAGAGCCTTTGAGTGTTCTCCTTTGAGACAGTGCAGAAATAAGTTCTGGTAGATCTCACAAAGTTTCTGGGGAGGTTTCCGTTTTTAAAGTAAACTGGTAAATTATTTCATAAAAATTATATTTTTTTATCTGCTGTTAATGACCAGCCCTATTTTCTGTTTTGTAAATTTGGACTTGTGTTTCTCAGGCTTATTTAAAGTGGACATTCTTGTACAGGTTGGGAACTGGAAGTAAAAAACTGAACTGAAATAGAAAATTGTAGAAAAGATGTAAAGAGAGAGAACCTGGAGGTGTTGCAATATTTGGAAAAATTCTGGATCCCTGTCCCTAATGAAGGGGAAAGAAATGTTAAGGGCTGAACCTTGAAAAAGTAGAACTCAGAAATATGCCAAATAAAGGTAGTGGATTGTTTGGATTGAGTTGCGTGAGCTCTCCAGATAGACCCTCAGTAGCAGGAGCTCCTCTGCCCATTCCATCTCCTGACCTGGTTTACATTCTCTGGGCTTTGTGTGTTGTCCTGCATTCTGCAGTGAGTTAGCTGTAACTGATTTTATGATGTTCTCTTAATTTTCAAGTCAAATAATCCATTTTACTGCATAGCTTTCATTTCTAGAGTGTGCTTTGAGCGTGGCTCATAAGTAACATTTGTTTTCAAAACAGGAAAGCATGAGGTGTGGTGATAAAATAAAGAATTGGCCTTTCCTTGGTTAATCCTCCAGAGAATTAACTCAAAAGGTTTGAAATGTGGGACACCGCCTCCTCTCCCTTGATGTATTTGTCTTCTGGCGGGAAGATGGCAATAAGCAGAGGGCTTTGTGTTGAACACAGTTGAGATGCCAGCTGTCCCCACATCAAGTGAATGTGGAGACCTACAGGGATTGGAAGTGGTACCTTAGGAACTTCTATTTGCCCAAGGAGATGGCCCAGCATCTAATAGGGAAATGGCCATGTGTGCCCATACTCACATACTTATTAAAAGACAAGCATAGATTTCATAGAAATTGAAAAAAAATATTTCCCCGTAAGTGAAGGCCACATTCTTTACCACTAACCTTTCAGATTCTGAAGGTCTGAGTGGAAAGGCTTAATGGATGGCTCTCCCTAAGCCTACGGCAGGCCTGGTGTAAGCTTAGATACTAGCTGATTGTGTTTCTTCTTTCCTTTAGCACTACATATTATGCCAAATCTCCCTTTGCCTTTTCCACATCTTGGAAGGAGAAAAGGAAGAGGAGAGTAGAGCTGTGGGGCTTTCTGGCACAGGGGAGGTGAGGCAGCAGAGGATGATGCTTGGAACAGTCCTATTATTCTTAGTCTGAATCTTCTCTAACGTCTGCAGGGGACTTTCCCCCTGCTGCTCTCTGACCTGAGAAAAGCAAAGGCACTTACATTCTTTCCAGAAACCTTCTTATTACAGAGAAGAGAGGAAAGCTATAGGTAGAAGTGGCCTGTCCACTGAGGTGCTACTAAGTTTTGCTGGTTGGCAAATCCCGAGAGGGGAGATTAGGACACTTGGCAGTGTTGTAGCACATCCTGTCCAGCTGCCCTCTGAGCTTGCGCCATAGGATGGGTAGCCCAGGGCAGGAGGCAGGAATGCTAGTTTTTATTTCCAGATCCACCAGTGACTTCTGTGTAGTATTGGGCACAGTCTCAACTTCTCTGCCTCACCTTCTCCATCTTTTAAGTAGATATTGGCAGCAGATCCTATTTGTTAGGATCCCACTGATTTTTAATCCATAGAATGCCAAGGTCTTTGAAAAATATGAGCTCAGTATTTATCACAGTGTTAATTATAGTAGCCAGTCCTATTCTTTATTTACTTTTTTCCCTTGGGGTACAGAAGAAATATGTGGCTTGGGAGGGAGCTTGTAGGATGGGGGAGGTTGTGAGTGACAAAGAGGCATAAGAAATTAAAACTGACAACTGAGAGAGCCTCTTGGTTGGCAGGGCAGGGAGCAGGGTGAATGACCTATTCAGGAAGAGAATGGAGTCTTAGGTCTACTTTGTGGCCAGCGATAAACTGTGAGTCATCCTCTTCTTAGAACAGTGTGCCTTGAGCATGGCCGGGGGCCTGCTGGGTTCCTGGTACTTGTACTCCTTTCTGTATCCTTGGCACACTCTTGAAGTTAACCTCAAAATACCCCTGGCCCACCCTTCAGGGTGTTAACTGCCTTTCAAAACTCCCATATAAAAGAAAAATCATATTCTAACAGTAGTTGCATTCTAGACGTGTACTTTATTGTTGTTAGAACTCAAGCATTAATGTGGTGTTGAGAAAAGAATGTAAGACTGAAGAGAGAAAAGATGTAGATGTAAGGCCCGGTACTACCATTTAAGTAGCTGTGTGTTGGGGCCGGCCCTGTGGCTGAGTGGTTAAGTTCGCGTGCTGCGCTGCGGCGGCCCAGGGTTTCGCTGGTTCGGATCCTGGGCACGGACGTAGCACCGCTCGTCAGGCCACGTTGAGGTGGCGTCCCACATGCCACAACTAGAAGGACCAGCAGCTAAGATATACAACTATGTACCGGGGGGATTGGGGAGATAAAGCAGGAAAAATAAAATAAATAAATAGCTGTGTAATCTCAGAGAATCTTTAATCTTTGTACCTAATTTCCCTATTGGTAGAGTGGTGACAATTCCTGAGTAAGATGTGGGAATGTTTCGTAAACCATGAGATGCCAGGCAAATACAAGAGATTGATGTATAGCGACTATGATTGTGGACCACATTCACCTGGCAGTTTCCCTTCTCCGAGTTGGGAGTGATTAAGTTTCCCCCTTGCAATGAGGAAACATGTACATGGATAACACCACCATAGGAGATGAAGAGAAGCAGAATCATCTTCGAGTGATTCCTTTCCTGGACCTTCTCCGTCTTCACTACATCTCTAGATAAGGGACAGGCAGAGAGGCTTCTTGTGACAAGCAAATGAATCCTTTTGTGGGCAGGAACAGGGCCAGAAGAGCACCTCTTTGTTTATTTTTTCTATTTTTATTTGTTTTGTCTCCACACCAGTGTTTTCCTACCTGATCAGGGTTCAGCAGCCCTCCTGGATCTTTGTTGGTGGGCGATTCACAATTGCATCTGAGGCAAGAGTTGAGGGAAGGAACAGGGAAAAACACTGATAAAACAATGTGAGGGAAAATGATGTCCTTTCAGTTGCGATCACTACAACAGCCTGAGATGATGTGGAGAATCATCAGCTCCAAGATCCCCTTTTTCCTTTCTTTGAGCTTCCCTCCTCTTCTACTCTCTGGACCTGCCCAGTTAGGCAGGCTAAGAGCAGAGGTGGCTGCACTCACTGGAAGGTCTGACAACCTCAGGTGCTTCGGTGATGAGCCTTGAGCACGAGGGAAGGACATACACCAGTGAGGGCAAAATACTCAGACTTGAGGGGCTGGCCCCGTGGCCGAGTGGTTAAGTTCGCGCGCTCCGCTGCAGGCGGCCCAGTGTTTCGTTGGTTCGAATCCTGGGCGCGGACATGGCACTGCTCATCAAACCACGCTGAGGCAGCGTCCCATATGCCACAACTAGAAGGACGCACAACGAAGAATATACAACTATGTACTGGGGGGCTTTGGGGAGAAAAAGGAAAAAATAAAATCTTTAAAAAAAAAAAAAAAAAAAAAAATACTCAGACTTGAACCAGCTTACACAAAAGCACTTTAATTGACAGTATACAATTTTCCAAAATATATTTTTGTAAGAAAATGGCAATAATTAAGTATAGTCTTTACAAACAAGTTTCTCAGTAAATTCCAGTGTACTTCAGACCCCTGTCCACTAAGACACATACTCCCCCAGTTTCCTGGGCAAACTGTTTAACATTCACTAATAACAAAAAGACCCACATCAAAGAGTAAGCTCCTCCTCACTCAGTGCTGGGCTCTCACCAAACCTGAGTGAATCAGCAGGCACAGTGATGAAAGATGCCACTGCTTTCCTCTTGCCCCCTCTGCCTTCCCCTATCTTGTTCCCTTTGATCCTTAGTCCTGCTAGTAGAAGAGCCATATGTAAAAGCTCATTCAAAACTTTCTTGGCAGAAAAGAACTGTTTGTTTAAGTCTTAGACCTAAACAAATGAGAGCAAGTGTATTAGAGCAGTAAGGTTCCTGGTTTTGTCTTCATGCCCTCCCTAGCCTGGCTGCAGGATAAGATCTGAGAAGGGAATCCTGTCCTTTGTGTTTTCTGGTGCCTGTCCTTAATTAGCAGTCCTTACTTTATTGATTCCTTCTAAGGCACACAGCACTGGACAGTCTTCCAACCCAGGTTTTAATCACGTTTCTGTCACTAACCATGTGATTTTGGTCATTTTATCTTTCTGGGGTTTCATGTTCTTTTTCTGTAAAAATAAAAAAAGATTGGACTCGGTCTCTAAAACCCTCTCCCTATGAGTAGAGTGTCATTTTCAGCCAATACATATTGACTCCAACCCTACTGTAACAGGCTCGGGCTTTGCTGGGGAGGGGGCAAGGACCATATTTAAAAATAAAAATGCCCGGTCTGCAAGAAAAATACTTTGTCATCAGCCTGTCTTATATTACATTTTTCATTAAAGAAAAATCAAACAAAAACCTGTCATTTCTAGTAAAATAGACATTTACATTCCTGTTCAGGGAAAAAAAAAAAAAGCCATCTCCCTTAGCTAACAAACATTTTTTCAAAGTATATTTACTTAAATCAGTGCAGGGTGGACTAAGATGTGGCCATTATATTTACATTATCAAAAAATATGTCTATATGTATCAGCTTGAACTTGTTTTTCAAAGTTTCTCCAGTATATTGTCAAAAAGGATAAAGCTCAAGAAGTGGTTTAAATAAACTTTCTGCTAGCTTTCCTTATCAAGAGGGGAAAAAAGAATCTT